AGGTTCCCCTCACCAGACTGTGATGTCCTTAAGAACAAGAACTAAGTCTTGTTTATCTCTTACAACCTAAACACTTAATATGGCAGTTAAACATTAGAGAACAATTAGGTGCTAAAATTGTGTGGTAGTAATTAACAAGTTCTAGAACTAGACAGTGGTGGTGATTACGGTGTACAACACTGTTAATATACTTAATGCCACTGAACTGTACACTTTAAAATGGTTAAAATGATAAATTTTACGTTATGTGTATTTTATCCAAATAAAAATAAGAAAACTAAGTTGTATGGTAGAGTCTATCCAAAAGAAAAAAGGAATAACGGGATAGGAATGGGTTTTCCAAACACAAAAACAAAACTTGAAAATTAAAAATTTAACACCTGCTTCTTGGCATTTTAATTTCTACTTTAAAATTTTAAAATTTAACAGTTAATTAAAAGGTGTTAATTGCAAGATCCTTCTAAATTCTTAGATAACAAACATCCCAGGCTGGTTGGTTAGCTCAGAGGGTTAGAGCACAGCCTTGTAACATCAAGGTCAAGGGTTCAGATCACAATACTGGCCAGCTGCCAAAAATAAACAAACATCCCAACACTTAGATTAACTGAAATCTCACAATGTAANAAATTCAGACTTTTAAAAAACCTATAACAACAACTTACTAGGAGTCTAGGCCTGGCAATCTGAACTCTACTTCTTCTGGTAAGTGTTGAAATTGTAAACTAAAACACTATTAACCATTTGGAACATCAGCTCTTTCTTAAATTGACTATATTATGAAGACTGCAGAATCTTAAAAACAAAGGGCAATCCCATTTCTCTTTCATAATTAACACTGTATTAAATTTTTAATACTAAAGAAAAAAATCAGAAGAATGCAAATAAAATCTATATTATAATACTGTTCAATGCTGATAACATTACTCTTAAATAAAACTACTAAGACATTAAACTTTAAATCATCAATTGCTACCTCCCAGATTTTCAAAGAATTCAAAAACACAATCTCTTCACACAGTTTCCAAATGCAACTATTCCTCAAGACGACCTGCCAAGAGAGAGAAACATGCTTGTATAATGCCAAATTTGATCATAATCAAGTAAGCTGTCACTGCTAAACAGTTCAACTAAGGATAGGTGCAGACAACTAGGAAATTCTCTCCAATCAGGGTTTTCTCATATCTCCCTGTTACAGTATGAAGGAATAGCTCCTAATTTGACTTTATATCAAAATATCAATTTCCTGGTTCCCTTCTTGTTCCAAAGTAGAGGGCAGGAGGATTTTTGAGTCCTGAACTCACCTACATCAAAACCACAATAATCAACCTCATTGTATATCGACAAAATAAAATTAAGAAAAAAAAAAAAAA